GATTCATACAATGGTTATCGTGTTTTCAATGCAAGTAAAAAAACAAAATCAATTATCTTTATATGTTGATTGTGAAATGAATTTTAAAGTTTTAAGCTTATTTTTAATGTTGTTTCTTATGTAGGTTCATCCATTTCTTATGTTCTGTGGATTCATATTCCTCTCCGGCGAAGGTAATTTGGTAAACCGATGAAAACCAGTTAAATTTTCGTTAAATAGTTGGAGTGGAAATACGAAACGCATTGTTGAAAACATGCAGCGAAAGGGATAGATGGAGAGGCGGACCGGGCAGTCTCCCTTATAAAATTTTAAATTATTATATATTTTAAATATATATATTTTAATATTTTCTATTGATAATCTATTTTCATCATTTCTAACCTAAAATTTTGAATCTATCTCTGTGCAGCGATGATGGTGTACAAGACAGTAAATGCGACACACACGGTCCAGAAGGTGGTCCATATGATGTTTCAGCTTGGGGCATTTGTGCTGGGTGTGGTCGGACTCTGTGCTGTGTTCAAGTTCCATGACATGTCCAACGTCGAAGATGTATACAGTTTGCATTCATGGATCGGAATCGCTACTATTTCTTTGTTTGCAGTACAGGTGAATTAGCTACTGAAATTTCCCAAACTTTGGTTAATTATTATTGTTATTATATGATCTTTGTGTTGGTGCTGCAGTGGTTGGCAGGGTTGATTTCGTTTATGGCTCCTCAACCGGAGGTGACAAGGCACAGCCTACTTCCGTGGCACATTTGCGGTGGCCGGACGTTGCTATATATGTCGATAGTGGCGGCGCTGACAGGGTTGATGGAAAAAGCTACGTTCCTGCAACTGCAAAGTAACCGTGAAGCTCGTTTGGTCAATTTCTTGGGACTGTGCATCCTGTTGTTCGGCATATTTGTTGATCTCAGTGTTGCTCTAGCACGTTATGTTTGATCATTGTTTTAATTAATTAATTATATATATATATATATATTGGATTGTGTGATTATTAATTTCTATTTTATGAATTTTACATTGGGTTGATGTTGTAATTCATATTCTATAATTAATCAAACCAAAATGGTTGTTACTTGCTACCTTGAATAATATACAAGATTCATGCTTCATTCGCTCACCACAACTTATCAATAGCTCTCGAACTCGCACTATTAATTATTCAATCATCAAAACTATTTATTCAGTACTCATTAAATTATAAAATTAGTTATATTATAGAGATTTTAAAAAACACCTTTATTTATATGCACTTAAATCATTAACTTCATATCAACATCATAGATTATCATATAAATATAGTAAATATTAGCATAATAATAATTAATAATTACTTTTATCGATCAAAAAATTAAATTGATATAATCCACTTGACCTTTTGTCTTTAGTTTTGTTGGTCGGCAATGACACTAACCTTAGTGTTGGTCGCCGACTGTCGATATTCATTCTATTTTATCTATTTTCTTATATCATATTTTTATTTTGTTTTTAAATTTCTAATAATTTTGCCTTTTCGATACATTTTTCTCTGTCGTTTGGCACGTTTTCAGTTTTCTCTATAGATAGTTTGATCTTTTTCGTTTAATTTTTTCAGGATTGGATTTAACATCGCATCGATTGATCAATATGGCTCTTTATTTGTTATTATGCTAATTTGCTCTGCTTTAGACCATCGGATGAATTTGGATATGCAATTTGTGTTCAGTGATAGTTTTCTCACGATGCTCGACAATGATTCGCGATTTTCAGTGGTCTTTCAGTCTATTGATCCCATGTTGTAGTTTGTTTGCCGATGCAATCAGATCTATTCATATCTTTATTTTGTTCGAGTTTGTTTGGATGTGTTTTTAACATTTTTCTTGTATGATCCTTATATGATCTTAAGTGACTAGTTTCATGTCAATGATTATAGGAAATGTTCTAATTATGGGTTTAGTTTACACTTATAAATGTAAATTATCATTGTAATTTTAGATTTTTCTTTTTCAATAAAACTAGTTGCTTCTACTTAGGGTCGGTCCTAGGCCAGGGCAAAATGAGTACCCGCTCAAGGCCCATAAATAAAAAAATATTGTTAGTATAATATTTTTTATTTTTGGTAAGAAATTTAAAAAAAATTGTAAAATAAAATAATAGAGCCCATAAGTTTATTACGGTATTAATTGTATTTATATAATTTTTATATTAATGTTAATAAATTATTCCACCTCCCATAGAACTCTAATTCAATATTTCTTTTTCATAATTAAAAAGAAAAATCAAATTGAACCTCTTTAATTTTGGTCTTCCCAAATTCTCACCATCAATGCATCAAATCTTTTTTCCGATTTTCCATGTCAATGAAAATTTTATTTAATGTTATTTTTTTCTCTTCAAAACTCAATGGGAGAAAAAAATTAAATATAGTTAGTATGCTTCTTTTCTCTTCCATATTTCACAATTCCTCTAAAAATTACTACTCTCACTTTTTAATTTTTAATATTTCTCACAAACACAAAGTCACAATTATTTATCATCAATTGTGGCGTTTGAATCATATTAAAAATTGTTCTTAAAATTCTAGGTAAAATCATGTTTCCAAATTATTTCTTTTGATTTTTTTATATTTTCAAATTATAGATAAGACCGTTCTTTTATTTCCAAATGCTATGTTATGTATTGAGAAAAATATGTTGAAAAGCAATGATGTTGACACTATCATCAATGATTTTACATCAAGAAATTATTTGAAGGCAATGTTTTTTTATAAGTATTTGCATGCTTAAATATACTTTTGCCATTTTTTATATTGTAATGAATTGTTATTTGTTTAATTTAATAATAAAATCTAATAAAAGTTTTATATTACATAATTTTTTAACTTCACTAGAATTAGTGGCCCATTTTTTTAATTTCGCCCCGGGTCAGGAAATAGTCAAGACCGACCCTGATTTTATTTGCATAAAAAAGATTAAGGGTCATTTGGTTTTAGAAAATATTTCATGTCTTTATTTTTCAGTTTTTTAAAAATTAGAAAACATGTTTGGTTAATATAAATGAAAACTTAAATTCAGAAATACAAATAGTGAAAATATATTTTGTATCTAACTTTTTTGAAATAGATATTAATAAATAAATATTAGATTATTAAATTAAAATAAAATTATTAAAAACAATTCATTTTATAAATTTAACATGTGAATTATGAAAATATAAAACAATAAAGTTGATAAAAAATTTCATAACACAAAAATTATTTTAGTTTATAATAAGAATATAATGTTAATGCATATTAGATATCAATCAAATTTTAAAAATATTTTAAAAAAAATGTTGTAGCAAGCAAAAGCACACAAAAGTGTCACTAAAATAAAAATATGTTTAGTGGTATTTGAGGCCCTCAAACTTTTTAAAAAAAATTAATATAACTCTTGAACTTTTTTACACTCAATGTAATTTTTAAATTGAGAAAAGAATCAATATAATCCTTTTACCAACGAAATTAAACGTTGACCGTTATCAATCTACAATGTTGATGACTTGATGTGATAATACACTATGAATGATGATGTGGTAGATGTATTTAATTGATTTTTAGCTAAGTTTCAGGATCTAATTGATTTTTTATAAAAATTTATGATTTATTTTCTATTTTCCAAAATAATTTTATTGAAAATGTTAAAAATATTTTTTAGATTTGCATATTTTCACTTATTTTTATTTTCAGAAATTATTTTCTATTTTACAACTAAATACATTTCCTTATTTTTTTTCTAAAAAAATGAAAATAATATATTTTCTATAACCAAACAAACCATAAATATCTCTAAACCAAAATAACAATGATAAAAGTTTAAATCAAAATTACGCGTTAAAAAGTTTTTGGATTAGTTATAGGCCGACTTAAGGACTCCAATTATGATATATTATAATTAGTTTGGGTTTCTTTTAGGGTAGGTTTTGTCCTTAGCTGGTTGTTATATCAAATAATACATTCTTTAAGTTTGTCTTTTTTTATTTTGTGTTTACACTGAAATTATTTAGGCATAGAAACAAATTTAGTTATCATTTATATATTTCATCAATTTAATTTTTTCTAATAAATTTGATTCTTAACCTTTTTATAAAGAGTCTAATTAACTTTTTAATGAAAATATTGATTAAAAATAATTTACGTACATTTAAATGTTGACGTGATATTATTTATGTTATATCATATATATTTTTTAATATAGTAACGAGGTCGGAGCTAATTTACGTATTTAAGCCCACATAAGGAGAACCGTCAGAATCATGGAGTGAGAGCAGGAGAAGTGTTGCAGATGGATGCTCGAAAACTTGTAAAGTTCCGGATGACATAGTCGTCAGCCTAACCATGTAATCGGCTACCATATTTACCTCGTATTTGATCAAATGGAATAACTTTAATGGGACGGAGTAAGTATCATAGTTAAAGATATTATTTGCTTGCGGGATTTGTTGTTGAACATCAATACATCATCATGAATCACAGGTGTTCATGGGGTGGCTCCACAAGTGAGCTCAAATTTCAAAGTGAAACTGCAGACAAGAAAACCAGATTCACAAGCTACAAACAAATGGTGTGTTGTCTTTTTCCATTTACAATTCAAAATTTCAATGGTCCCAAGCTTCTTAATTTGTGGGCGTCACCCGTTGATGCCGCATTTTTACCTCCCACCTATCCCTTTATTCTTCATTCCATCCATCAAAACATTTTCTCGCCAACCAATCACCATTCCTTCTTTCCCTCTTGGTGCTTGGGAAAAGCCAATATCTCTAAATATTTTAATATATGTATATATATATATATATATACACGAATCGACCGTAGATATTATATATTCTAATTATCAGTTCGATCATACTTTATAACTATTGATTCTGATGATAATTATCCGAACATGTAAATATTATTCTATATGATGACAGCAACAAGCATAAAATTTTGATATCCTTTCAACTCTCATCAATGGATATCCATTACGAAATGCAATATGGTTTACAATCATTCATTTCTCGTTGGGGGAACAAAGCAGAATCCATAAGGTTAAAAAAAAGCTTAAACAAGCTACACAAGTTCTAGATTTAAGTAACTGTTAAGCAATAAATTAGAAGAAAGTTTAAAGAAATAAAAAAAGGTTAAGCCCATTGTTGCTTGGTAGCTTCCATTCTCTCCAACAAACTGGCAATCTCTGCTTGCATTCTCAGTTTCATTTTGTAGTAATCACAGTGTGAATGTTCCAAAACTTTTAGTTCTTCCATTTTGTTCCTCCTTCTTTCCTCGGTTTCTTGCAAGCAAAGTTTTGATAGCTTCTCGGTGTATTCTTCTTCCAACTTTGCAGACTTTGTTCGGATCATACTCATGTAACTCTCGACTTCTCTCCGTGCTTCGTCTGCCTTGCTTTGGAACAATATCGCTTCTGCTTCCTTGATCCTTACCATGCCTTCTATGCTGTCGAATCCCTCAGTGTTTGATGACCTTCCGAACCGGTATTCATCTTCACTCATTAGGTCATTCATGTGAGAAGGTTTGAGACCTTTCTGACGGAGGTCGTTCTGAAGTAAATCGTGCCCACTTGAAGAGCTCGTGCTGTAAAACACGAGCTTCTGCGGACAAGAAGCACCCGGTGTCACAGATGATTCGTCTTTTCGAAGATCAACTTGAGTTGCTGTTAACTCTTTCGAACATGCACCAGAGGTAGGAGGGAAGTCTGATAAACCATCAATGTCTGTTTTGTGCAGACCGAAAAGGAAATTGAAGAAGAATAGTTGAGACTTGAATACCATTAATCGAAAGATGCATGAAAATAAATAACTCAAATTATCAGCAATATAACTAACTCGGTAATGGTAAAGTATGAAACGCATGTCTCCTAGGATAGATGTTTCGAGAAAGAATAAGTTCAAATCAACCAGCAAACTATAATCAAGACTAGTTATCAGGGATGTTCCTAATCAAAGCATATCACATTTCAAGCATAGGGACTTTGTTTTGCTAATAAGTTCACTCGATCATCAAAATCACTTAACTATAAGATTTGACAAGTTATCAGGAATTCGAGAAATTCGCATGATGTGCTTATAACTACAAGATGTTTGCAGAGAACATATAGACAGGGCAAATGATACATACGGTTGAAGAACTGAAGAATGATGCTGCAAGCGTCTGAAGTAGACATCGCTTCGTTCCGGAGCCAGTTGCACAGGTCATCAGCTTTGATGCGCAGCTCCTTGCCCTTTGAATCATCACTGCCCCTGAAAATCTTCCGAACGCAATCTAGCTCCTTTATCAGTGTTTCATGACCCCAGTCCTTAGCACAGTATAGAAAGACATCCTTAACGAAACCGAACATTTCTGAAGCATGGCCGCACCCCATGCAATGAAATTGCATTTCAGTAGTCCCGGATGGTCCCTTTATGCTAGGACCTGGTTTTATAAGGTTCCTCTGAATACCGCAGGCAACATGGCACCAATGGGAACAAACATCGCAACCGACCCAACTGCAAGTATTGCTAGCACAATCGAAAGTCAAGCAGACAGGACACATACAAGAACTGCAAAACCCTTTATTTCCAGAGCATATCTTGCAATCACAATCATCAACAGGCAGTACACTCTTGCAATTCAGATTCCTACATCTGGTAAACAAGAATATCTCCACCAGCTCGGTCATGGGAAGTCCTACTTTGCCGGACAAGAAGCTTTTAAGCCCCATTTTCACTGCAACTAAGATTTCTAGTTGACCCTTGCAGCACTTTGAGAGTGTCTCCTTGATAAGATCAGATCTCCTCTCAAGCCGGCTTTGAAGTACCACTAAGTCTTCCTTCCTCTCTGGGGTTGATATAAGATTCCTCAAGTATTCTTTGGTCAATTCAAGTGTTTCATCAGGTAGCTCCTTCAACATTTGAACCATGGAAGGTATCGACTCGGAGACGATTTCGAGAAGAATTCTTTCTGGTCTAGAAATCTTCCTGGATCTCCCTCCATCCATACTGTCCAAAACTCTCCAATTCTCTGAATCCCTCTTCCTAGAATCACCTGAATGATTATCTACACCCGGCTTAGCGAGCAATTCCGATGGGAAAAAGGAATGATTATCTGAACTAGTAGTCCTATGAAGACTATTGCACGAATCCTTATTCACATGACGGTTAGCCTGCATAATGGAAAAACCCCCACTAACACCAGCACCAGCCAAAGCAACTCCATCACCAATTGGCCTAAACCGACTATGAACCGATCCATTAGTACCCTCACCACCACACCAAATTTGATCATCTTTCCCAACAGAATATTCATAATTCTCGGTCGAATTCCGAGTTAACGAGCAGCTAGGATTATGCGAAAACGGCACAGAATAAGAATATGACAATGAAGCAGCAGTGAAATCATTCGAACAAGTGGTCTGCGTATTATTGGTGGTCGACGGTGCCAAAGACTGAACACTCCTACTAGGCCTTGACCGATGTTGTGTCGAAGGATCGCCATTTTGCAAAGCATTTGAAGTAGTTAAAGAGAGAGAGACATCAGGTAAAGCTAGAGAAAGATTCAAAGTCTCGAGCTTTGGCCTTTTCTCGCTATTAAAATTCTCTCTTTCATGAAAATCTTCCTCCACATCTCTTTTGGAAGAAATCCCTTTACTTTCACTCAAATTCAAGAAATCCCTTTCGACCCATTTCTCATCTTGATTTGAATTATCGGAATCAACAACTTCTTTCCCTTTGTAAGTTTTTCCGGCCAACTCTTTCTCGGAAACAAAACCCAGTTTAGAGTTCTCACAAAGGTAGCTAAGGGTGAGTTCTTGGGAAGATCTTGGTAAAGAGTAACCTCCATCAAGACCCACCTTTGATTCTCCGAGAAAATCAATACCCTTTTGTGAAAAACTCGTCTTTTCAACTGGACTCTCCTTGTTTTGAAACAAACGTGAAAGCTTGCTTTGAGAGCTTTCATCTCTCACACAAGGATGATTACTTGAGAGATCTTTCTCTCCAAACATGGTCTTATCACAAGCAAAAACGGAAACAATAAAGCCAAAAGGAAGAGGAAGTTAACTTACCAGAAAGAAAGGAGGTGATAGAGCAGAGAGAGATGAAGATTTTTGAAAAAGAATATGAGGTATGCTTTATTTTTGGCTTTTGATCAAGCACGGTAGCACGCCATAAGACTCTGCAACAATGCCTGGAAACTTCAAAGTGTTCACACCATTGACAATAGAATGGTTTCTTAGGCTTGCTGTAAAAATTAATCCATAACATTTATTTTATTTTAATACTTTTTTAGTATTTTGATTCATAATATTTTATTTTGAGACAAAATTTTTTCTATAAATAATAATTTTTAATTAATAAATTATTAATGTTTTGAAATAAAGACTTTCCACTTTAAAATGAAATGTTGAACATATTTTAAAAATAAAAAAATAACAAAATAAGAGCCAAAGTATTTATTTAATTAAACAATAAGGACATTTTTATCTTAAAATAAAACTTACAAAATAAATAAGAGTCAAAATCACCATTTAACAGGTTTTTTGGAATTATGCTTTCTTGAGTTAGTTTATTGTCTTTATAATATCAAAATTCGGTTTAGATATTTTTTTTAATTTGTGTTTAACGTATATATTTTATAAACAAAGAGGATGCACTAAGTCCTTATAGAATCAAGTGTGTCTCCGTTGTTTTAAAAAGTAGTTAAATTTAATTTAATAAAAAGAAAAAATTTTGTATTCTCATCATTTTTAAAAAAAATAATATTAAAATTTTAGACTCTATTTTTAAAATTTTTTGATACGCCACTATTTATAACTATAATTGCTCAAATTCAGGAGCTTCAAATATAACAATATTTTTCTTTAGTGCTAACAACTCTTAATAGATTTTTTGTTGTTGTTTTCTTGCGATTCCAAGGGTTCGTCTTGACTAATTCGTATCGACTGTATCGTACACCTAGCTTTTGTAAGTGAGTCTCCTAGCAGAAATTTTCTGCATACACAATGAATCGATTAAATACCTTGCTTAAATGATATCAAGTTGCTTACCACTTAAATCAATCTCAACTGGTAGATTTATATTAATATATGAACTAATAATTCTAGAAAGATATTATTTAAAATATTTTTTATAAACAGAATCCATTAAAACTTAAAAAATATAAACCAATCTTTTTAATTTTAATAACCTTAAACCCTAAGATTAAAAACTACATATGTATGCATATATATTAACCAGAGGTAAGGGCGGCCAAAGACATTGGCTTTGGACATGATCGGACCATTAACAAATAAGATATATTTCATAATTTTTAAAAGTACTAGTGAGCGTAGCTGTCATGTCTACCTGTCTGATATACTTTTAAATTAGAGAAAATAACTTAACTGACCAAAAATCCCATATAATATACGATTTTAATCAATTTTTTTTGGATTTATCAAAATGACCAACAAAATCGCAATGCGATCGCTAATTCGCAACGCGATCTCCATTATCGCAAATTCGCGTTGCATTTTCGCAATGCGATAGTTGAAAATCGCGTTGCGATGGTCTACAGTATCGTTGCGATTTTCTCAAATCGCAATGCGAATAAGTAAATCGCAACGCGAATTGGGAAAATCGCAATGCGAATAAGTAAATCGCAACGCGAATTGGGAAAATCGCAATGCGATACTGACTATCGCAATGCGATAATAAAAAATCGCAACGAGATACTTAATTTCGTAACGCGATTTACATAGCGCCATTCGTATTAACGCGTACTTTTTTTTTCAAATTCCAAACAAGTATTTTTTCTTAATAAATCGGAAAATGAACCGTCCACAGTAATCGCAACTCATAACCTCAAACCCAAAAACACAACACTCAGTCCCATCTCCATCTCTCACTCTCTACGGCGAAATCCGTCCCCATCTCCGAAGATTTCCGTCCCCATCGCCGGCGAAATCCCTCACAACCATTCACAGTCAAAAATCCCTCACAATCATTCAGAAATGGAAAATCAACCTCCGAGAGTTAGTTTTTTTATTTTTATTTTGAAAATTTTGCATTATTTTAGGTTTTTCATATTGAGATTGATGATAAGTTTACTGGTAATTTCAATAATAGATTAACCATTTCACTTAGATTTCTTATTAAATTCATTCGATTGCTGCCAATACTGCTAAACTGTTTAGCCTGTGAAGTTAGTATTTGTCTTTGCTTTGTCTTTTGGTTGAAGTAATGCAGAAGAAGAATAGTTTCGAGAATGAAAATCGCAACGTGGAAATAACTATCGCAACGCGAAACCAAAATCGCATTGCGATTTTCATTTCGCGTTGCGATTTTCATTTCGCGTTGTGATTTTTATTTCGCGTTGCGATTATCTGGTCGCGATAGTCATTTCGCGTTGCGATTCTCTCATTGCGATAGTCATTTCCGCGTTGCGATTCTCATTATCTCGTTGCGATTTTCATTTCAACCAAAAGACAAAAACAGTGTTGCAAATTTTAGTTTCAAGAATAAACTACTATTTATGTTTATTGTTTTGTTTTTGGTATATCTTGACAGTGTAATTTTTGGTATATCTAACTTGGTATGTTTATTGTTTTTTTGTAGAAATTTTTTTCGGCTTCATTGACATTAAGGAATAAAGTTAGCCTAGCCACTACAATTGCTTCGAAGCTTTCGCCTGCACAAAGAAAATTGTTTGAAGAAACCTGCTTCGGGCCATGGCTGAGAGTACAACATCCGGGTGGAGATGCTAGTTTGACACATTTGTGGCTTCAGACCATGACTAGCGATCTACCCGACAGTATACAACGTGGTGAGGAAGAGATATGGTTTCATTTTCCACCGGCGTATACTTGTTTTGGGCGGAAGGAGTTCTGCTTAATCACTGGTCTACGATTCGGACACGATGATGTAGGCCGGTACACTCGTCATATCACCCGCCCATCATGGTTATCCAGGGTTTTTCCTGATGAGTCAATAGAGAAGCCGAACTTACACGTCGACGACATGAAGAAATTGTTTAATAAGAAAGATGGTTTTACTCGGATGAATGACGTCGATGTTGTCCGAGTATGCCTTCTACTACTTTTGTATACCGACTTTCTAGGCAGAGAGGCCAGACAACCTATTCCTCAGGAGCTAATATTATTGGTAGAGGACCTAAATGCATGGAATCTGTTTCCGTGGGGTTCGTATATATGGAAAGCTACCTGGACTAAGTTGTCGTCTGCCTTTGATGACCGCAAAAGTTTGCGGGGCGATGGGTCGAAATACACTTTGTTAGGCTTTGTTTGGGCCTTTAAGGTAAGAATTTCTATATAATGTTTTCAAAATTATAATTAATTATTTAACAATTACTAATGTTTGTTATTATATTGTTTGTAGATTTGGATATTCGAGGCTTTCCCCAGCATGCGGACATATGCATTAAAATCCTCAGATGATATTCCTAGGGCTATTTCCTGGAAGAGGAAACGTATGTTGGATTGGGAAGACTTAATACCATATGCTACAATAAATAATGTAAGTTAACACAAATACTATCATATATAAACAAGTTATTAACAGTAGACATTTAACTTTGTTTTAGTTTTTATATTTTTAGGAGGCCAACACTCCATTAATGAGACTGACACCCACGGAGGCTGAGCTTGCCACTGATTGGTGGCAAGCTAGTCAGCGTTTTTTTGATGGCACGAATGATGAGCAACCTCCACTTCCTCCACTTCGAGAGCCATCACCTCACCCAGAGCCATCACCTGATCGACCCGACTATACACCTCTACAACGAGAGCCATCACCTATCCCGTCACATCATCGAGTTTCTTCTCCACCATCACCTCATGATAGGCGACCGACAAAGATGCCACGACTTCTATCTCCCTGTTCTCCACCTCCACGGGATGAGTCAAGGGAGTTACGTGATGAGGTCAATGCCTTGCGTGAGGAGATCGGTACTCTACGCGATAACGATGGTGCATGGCGTGTGGAGGTGTCTACTTTACGTGAGATGGTAGTATTGTTGCAGAATGAGGTTCATACTCTACGCAACGAGGTAAGTTTAAGATTTTCCATATTTAACTTGATGATAAATTTACTCGTAATTTCACTTAAATTAACCATTTCACTTAGATTGCTTAGTAAATTTATTCGGTTGCTGCCAAAACTGCTAAACTTTTTACTTTAACACTGTGAAGTTAGTATTTGTCTTTGTTTTGTCTTTTGGTCGAAAGTTTGAAATATATTTATCTTTGTTTTCACTGTTTAAATATCATGTCTGTTTATTTACTGATATTTGTATTTTTATTTAGCGGACCGATAAGGTGGATGCTTTACGTCGGGTTTTTCTTGCACGACAGAGTTCACGCATCAGACGGCGTGCACGTGCTATTAAGTCTCCGTATACCCCAATAGTGCGAAGACACCGCAAGAAGAAGCCCGACTCGCCTATCATCCCTCAAGAGTCCACTCCTATCGTTGAAGAGGCCCCTATCATTCCTTGAGAGTCCCCTCCCACCGTTCAAGAGGCCACTGTCATCGTTAAAGAGGTCCCTCCCACCATTCAAGAGCCCGATTCACATGGCGTCATATGTAGGATTCTTGAGAAACCCTCTGACGTGCCGGACATGATGGATTCAAGTTGGCTCTGGTATGAGTTACCGGCCAGTACCATACCGATATCTGAAGAGGAGAGGAAACAACTACCGGACACAATTCTGGATAACACCCTTTGGGCTAAGACCGCAGTTGATTTTTATCTACATGAGCGAAGCCATGGGTGTTTCACTGACATATGCAAGCTCAATGATGATATCTATTTGTTGCTTGATCGGTCTTGGTGGGGCGTATTATTAGGGGTCGAAGACAATGGCTATTTCGATGGAGGGGTAAGTCTTATATTTTTCTTATATTTTCATTTGATTAATTTGTTTAAAAATTAATGTAATTCACTAATATATGTATTTTTTTGTAAAACAGCATATCGATGTGTGGGTGTCACGTCTACTAATAATTAGGAAACTTAAGGAAAATAAAAGAAATACATGGTATACAATAATGCCGACGGCTTTTAACGCAGTTCACTTGAAGAATCAACGAGATGAATCATTTGCGT